AGAAACCAAACAAGAGCAGGACCCAGAGCCTCCTGTCTGAGGCAGGTGGTGATTTTAATAGAAAACTCTTGCTACTATGCACATGGAGGAACTTGGAAAGTGCCACGAGAGGTGAACAATATCTTGCCAGAAAATGGAGGCGACATTGATCTGGGTGGAGGGAGCAAAGCGCTCTGGATGGGAGCCTGCAAGAGGGATGACATTTGGTCCTACAGAGGAGGGGTGGGCGCCTGAGTGGGACGTGCCTTTGGCGTACGAAAGGGCATGGAGGGTTTCCCCCACCAGTGAGGAGCCCAGTCTGGTCTGTATTGAAGATGGGGAAACGTGGGGTACAGCGCTGGAGAAGCTGAGGCTGGCAGCGTCCGTGCTGTCCAGGGCGTTTTGCACAATTTTAGATGTATCTACTGGGACTCAGTGTTGCAACTGACATACACACACACATATCAGGTTTAAGGAAAAAGAAATACTGCATTACCTCAGCCATTACTCCATCCAGGATTCAGCCGATGACCAGACTACTGTTTCCCGCCTCCTTGTGTTATTTTATCTGTGTTGCCACCTTTTAATTTGGGTTTCCCCAACGCAGACCCTGAGGCAAGAATTTGACTGTGATTTGGGAGATGCAAAAGGCACCAGGGAGAGTGTGGGAAGGGAAGACAGCCAAAGAGCGGCGCAGGGTCCAGCCAGCTCTCCCACTTGCAGCTCTGGGAAACCTGGTGGATTGCATGGCTCAGTGTTACCCACCCGAGGGGCAAGGAAGTTGGGGCCACAATACCCATCAGCCGTTGACTGACGGCCTCCCTAAGGGAGTATCAGTTCCCGGCAACTCCAGCTGCTGGGCACTCAGGCAGTGCAGCCTTTGGAGAGCCCTGAGAAAGCCCATGGGCCAAGAGATGCAGCAGGAGCGCTGGCACCCTGAAGGGGAGGGAACCCATGAGTAAGCCGCCCACAGCTTCAGCCCCTTCTTCACTCTTAGTAGGCTCTGCCTTTACACACACACACACACACATTCATACACACACACACCCCGACCCAACCACACATACACACCCAACCACACACACATACACACGCCCCGACCCAACCACACACACACACACCCAATCACACCCCCACCCCACCCAACCACACAAACACACACCCCAACCCAACCACACACACACACATCCAACCACACACACACACACCCCCACCCAACCACACACACCACACCCCCACCCCCACCCAACCACACACACACACACACACACACACACCCATCTCTTGGGGATGGAAATAAGAGATTTTCTTTCCCAATAACTGAGCAAAAAATGGATCCCGGCTTTCACTGTAACCCATTCAAGTCACTTAAATGAATCTCTGATCTGGGAGAGTGACACTTCTATAAAACCATCCTCACGCCATTGGTCGACTCGGGGAAGAAGGAGGAGAACGTCCACAGGGCAAAATGTGGAGCCCTTCTGGGGTGTCAGGGAGCTGTCCCGTGGACAACGGGTGCATGGCCAGAGGCCTGAGAAAGAGCTTGGACGGAAAACACTGATGTATGAGTGTTTATGTCTTCATTTGGGTTTCTGCCAGGCAGCCCCTGAGACGAGGACTTGGGTGCGGGCTGTTTATTTGGGAGGTGATCCCACAAAGCAGCCCTGAGCAGGGGGGAGAGTGAGTCGGGGCAGGAGGAGAAGCCCGTCCTAGGGGTGGCAACAAGCATGGCCTCTGCTGGCAGGTGCGCTCCTTCCTGCTGGGGCCCTCTGGGAACCAGGGAGAAGATACCTCAGAATTCTCACCAAGGGGGAGCAAGCTGGAGTTTCCTTCACTTTCTCCCATCCCTCATTGGCTAAGAAACTTTCTGAGGCGTCTTACGCTTCCATCTTTCAGACCTGACCTGCGTGTGGACCCAGTGTGTGCCTGCGGCCTGAGAACACCCTCAGGTGGAGACACCCTCAGCAGGTGGGGACCCACCCAGCAGGAACCTCCAGCGTGCAAGGCAATGCAGCTGGGGAGTTGGCCCCATCTGCTGCTGTGTCCTTCTGTCCTTGTAGCGGGACCCCATGGGGAGTGGGGAGGGCAGAATCCCCCCACCCCTCACTCCTGGTGCCCACCCCTTTTCATCTTTGAGTTCTCCCTTCTCTGCACCCAGGTCACCCAGAGCCCCCATCTTCTCTAACGTGACTGTCTGTACCTGCACCTGGGCCCTGGCTGTGCGTGTTCTAGGTAGTAAATGCAGCCCTTTGATAAACGGCCACATTACAAAGAACCCAGGAATAAAGGCTTGGGGTTGGGGTGTGTGTCAAATGTTACTCCAACAATGTCCCTGGGAATGGAAATAGCACTTATGTGGGCAGGAAAATAATTATGTGATCTGGTCTGTGTCTTTTGGTTTAACTAAATCAGTGATACCCAAGTGGCCTAGAGAGTGTTTTAGAAGTTCTGGGGAGCCTTCTTCAAACCAGACACACTCCCTTCCCTCTAATGGGTCCCACTGCAGAGGGTGGGGGTGGGGACATGGCCTCCTCTCTGCCTCCCTGGTGGAGAATCCCTGGTGTCATTTGGGAAGTAAAGTCTGGAATGTAGACCATGTGAGGACAGAGGGAAGGCTGAGAATCACTGGCTTGAAATAGGACCGTGGACCCACCAGTGAGGTAGAGTAGGAGAAACTTGTGGAGAGAAGGCCTGTGTTTGAATTCGGAGCTGGCTGGCCGCTGAGTGTCTCTGTGCCTCGGGTCATTACCTGTAAAATGGGAATGTTACTGCGAATGGCATGCGGTTGTTGTAGGAATTCAGTCGCTGGCATGTTGTTTTGATGGCACATTTTTTTTTCTGTTGCAGTTAACTCTGAGTGGTCTTTAACGCAGAGCCCCTCATCCAGTGTGACTCCGGGATAGCAGTCTCCTGGCCCCGCCCTTCCGGCCACATTGCTGACCGCCCTCCAGGCTGGCCAGTGTCTGCCTCACAGCACAGCTGGAGCCCCCTCTGTTGTTACCAAAAGGGGCCCTGATGCTGGGGGAGTGGTTAGAGGTGTTCCTTGTCACCTTGGGGTCACACGTCTTGCAGAGCCACCTCACTCTTTTTTGGGGGAAACCTTAGGAGAGGAGGAGGTGCCCCAGAGGCTGTTTCAGATGACCTGAAGGCGAGAACGTGGATAAGGTCTGCCTGTGGGTGTTTGTGAGAAAAGGTGTAGCTGAGGCTGGACACAGAGAATGAGTCTTCCTTACAGAGAATGGGGGAGAGACAGCCATGAGCAGATTTCCTCACCCTGAGACGGACGCCTTCCTGACTCTCCCACCACTCACCTGGAGACAACACCCCCCTCACTTTGAGCTACAGAGCGAGCACACTCAGCAAAGGACTGCCAGTGTCCACCTCTGTATGCTTTCTCCCTTTCTTATATGCCTTCAATTAATACTGAAATCATCGCCCTCAAACATTCAATACAATCTATATTTTAAAAAATACAATAAACAAAGAAAATGGTACACACACAAAGTAGCACACATGAGAAAATGCCATTTACGTTCCAAAAAAGACACTGATTACTGTGGATTCTCCGAGAAGCCTGTGTAACCCAACAATAACTCCTAGATCCAAACGCAAACACAAATGCCATCAGAGTGAAAAGCCACTTGCTATCGTTTGGCGGAGAGGAAGCGGGTGGAAATTCCCAGGAATTCCCTCGGTGAATCCTGCAGAGACATGCCTCAGGGAGACTGACCCCAAATACAGCAGGTGCAGCTGGCCCCAGGCTGGAGCGCACCCGAGGCTGTTCTTCACCCTGAGCCAGCAGAGACTCTGCCTGATACTGAACTCTCTTTTCTGCCTCCTGGATCAGGGTGATACACTCTGAGGCTTTTTTTTTTCCCTTAAAGCTCTATGTGACAAAAAGGAAATTGCTGAGCCCTCTTTCCTCCCCTATTTGCTTTACCCAGTGAGAGCTAAGGACACATTTTTGGCTCTTTTTTGGTGATTGCTCTATGCACATGTGAATACACTAAGAATCGAAGCAGAAAGCTCCTGTGAGGAGAACCTGCTCCATTAGCTGCCCTAGTGCGGGGACTTTAACAATACCTGTAACAGGAGAACTCTGCTGAGATGAAGATGCAAAGTAACCATCTAGTATATTCCACTGCTGAAACAATGGCCCAACCCTGGGCATAATCCACTCTGAAATAAGGTGCAACATAAATGAAGAAAAAGCACATAATGTTAGCTACATATCAGTACATATTGCCCTCTGTATTTGCTGGTTCCACATCCACAGATCAAAATCTGTAGCTGCTGAGGACCAACTGCATGTACTTTCCATCCGTGGTTGGGGGGACCCACAGATCGGGTTGCAGAGGTCTAACTGCACTGTGCCATTTTATGTAAAGAACTTGAGCATCAGAGAATCCTCTGGTGTCTGCAGGGGTCTTAGAACCGATCTTCCACGGTTGGGGAAGGCCGAAGGAATGTTTAGCATTTATATGTACAGTGTATTTTCAGAACGGTTTGCAAGTACTCTGAATTCAGGAACTCGCTATGTGTGATGCACACTCATATTCAAATTTTTCTGTAATTGGATTTGCTGAGAGGGGGAGAAAAGATTGGATTATTCACGAAAAGCTGTTAGAAAGAAAGAAAGAAATGAAATGATATTGTACTCCAGCACCACACCATACGCAGAAATACAGTCTAAGAGGATTAAGAAGTTAGATCTAAAAACAAAAGCACAGTCATGCACTGAAAATGACGTTGCAGACAGCAATGCTAACCCCAGATTATAGCGGAGGTGAAAGAGTCCCTCACTGAGTGACGTGGGTTGCCATTGAGTCGTCGCACATCATGCACATGTTTGCGGTGACACTGGTATACACGATCCTGTGTTGTCACTTGTATAAAAGTACAGCCCATGCAATAATGTACACTATGTAACACTTGATAACAAACAACTATGTATTTACTATACTATACTTTCATTATTAGTTTAGAGTGTACTCCTTCTCCTTATAAAAAAAACAACTGACCTATGAAGCAGCCTCAGGCAGGTCCTCCAGGAGGTGTTCCAGAAGAAGACCTTCTTATCCTCAGAGATGACATCTCCACGCGTGTCACCGCCCCGAAGACCTACCAGCGGAACAGTAAGTGGAGGTGAAGATACTGACCACCCTGACCTGTGTAAGCTGTGGGCTAATGTGTGCGCTTGTGCCTTAGTGTTTAACAAAAAAAGCTTAAAAAGAAAAAAATTAAAAACAAAAATAAAGAATAAGGATATAAAGAAAGAAAATAGTTCTGTATATCTGTACCATGTGTTTGTTTTCAGCTAAATATTGCTGCAAAAGGGTCAAGCGTTAAAAGAATTCCAGTTTATAAAGTGAAAAGGTTATAGTAAGCTAAGATTGATTTGTTATGGAAGACTCTGCAGCCATGTCGAGTCTTCGGTCTTCCCATTCACTCACTCACGGACTCACCCAGAGCAACTTCCAATTCTATAAGCTCCATTCCTGGTAAATGCCCTATACAGGTGTACTGTTTTTAAATCTTTTGCATCATATTTTGACTGTACTTTTTCTATGGTTAGATGTGTTTCGATACACAAATACTTACCATTGTGTTACAATTGCCCGGCATCAGTACAATAACATGCTGTACAGGTTTGTAGCCTAGGAGCAATAGACCACACCATACGGCCTGCGTATGTAGTGGGCAACAGCATCTAGCTCAGTGTAAATACATTCTGTGATGTTCGCACAAGAACAAAACTGCCTAATGATGCATTCTTAGAAGGTATCCCCGCTGTTAAGGGACTCATGACTGTACAAAGGTATTAGAATAAAACATGGGATAGTTTCTTTAAAAAAATTTTGGATAAAGGAGCTTGGCAACATCAAGATACAAGGTCAATATGCAAACAGTAATCGTATTTTTACATACTAGCAATGAAAAACTGAAAATTGAAATTCTAAAAAGTACCATTTTCAGTAGCACTGAAACATGGATACTTAGGTACAAAATACATTTAGGTATGCTGAAAAGTACAGAAAATTGATAACAGAAATAAAAGAAGGCCCCTAAATAGAAATATCCTGTGTTCATGAATTAGCAGACTCAGTGTAATTTAGGTGTCTGTTATCTTCAAGTGGATCTGTATATTCAGTGCAATTCAAGTCAAAACCCCAGCGGGCCTTTTGTAGACATTGACAAACTGACTCTAAAATGTATATAGAAATGCAGAGGAACTAGAAGAGCCAAAACAATTTTGAAAAAGAACAGGGTTAGAGGACCCACACTATCGGATTTCAAGACGTATTATAAAGCTACAGTGATAAACAGAGTGTTGTATTCCTCAAAGAGTAAACATGAAGACCAATAAAACAGAATCTAAAGTCCAAAGCGGACCCGCGGATGTGTGCCTGAGGTTCAACAGAATTGCAAAGGCAATTTAATGGAACAGGGATTGCCTTTCCAGCAAACGACGTGGGAGCAACTGGACATCCACTGCAAACAAACAAAAATCCTTGATCCGTATCTCACACCACAGACAAAAACCAAGTCAAAATTAATCGCAGATCTAAATGTAAAATCCAAAACTATAAAGCTCTAGGGGAAAAAAGAGGATGACATCTTTATGAATGTGGGTTAAGCAAAGATTTCTGAACTACACCACCAAAAGCCGGATTTATAAAAGAAAAAGAATAAGTTAGACTTTATCAAAATTAAGCACTTCTCCTCCTTGGAACATTGTTTAAGATAATTGGAAGACAAGCTATAGACTGGTAAAGAGTATTTACAAATCACAAAGCTGATAGAGTTACTGTACATATTCAGAACTCTTAAAATTCAAGAACAAGATAATAAACCCAATTAAAAATGAGCAAAGAAGTAAACACTTTACCAAAAAGATATATAGATAGCAAGTAAGCATGTATCATTAGGAAAATGGAAACTGAAATCTTTAGATACCCCTACTAACAATTAGAATAGCAAAAGAAAAAGAGGAGAGAAAGAATAAAAGAAAGGAAGGCAGGGGAGAAGGAAAGAAGGAAGAAAGGAAAGAAGGAAGGAAGGGACAGAGGAAGGAATGAAGGAAGGAAAAAGAAGCACCATTAATGACAAGTGCTTGCAAAAATGTGGAGAAACTGAAACTCCTATTTTGCTTGTGCAAATGCAAAATGATATAGCCACTTTGGAAAGTATTAATACACTTTTCATATGACCCAGCAATGTCACTCATAGGTATTTACCCAAATGAAACGGAAACTATGTTGACACAAAAGCCTCTATGTGGATACGTATTCATAATCATCAAAAACTGGAAAGAACACACATATTCTTCAATGGGTAAGCGAAGAAACACACCATAATACTTCCAACTCAGTAAATAAAAAAGAATTAAGTCTTGATCACACAACATGAATGTATCTCAAATGCTTCACACTGCATGACAGAAGACGTGTGAACGTCATGTATTCTATAGTTCAGTGTATATGACCGTTTGGAAAAGGCAAAACTGAATAAATAGAAAACATATCGATGGTTGCCAGGAGCCATGTATCCGGGAAAGGCTGACATACGTGTACTTTTATTTTTGGGAAACTGTTTTAATCTTAATTGTGGTGGTGGTTACATAATTCCCTGTATCTGTTAAATCTCCCAGAACAGTACAATACAATATCTAAATTTTGCTACATGTAAATTTAACCTAAAAGTGAAACAACAAGAACAAAAAAATGAGACCAGCCGCAGCCTAACACATTTTACAGCAATAGGAAATATCAATATCCCACAAAGCAGGGTAAGGAGATTCAGATACACTGTAGGCCAGAGTATCAGTTAGTGAATATTTCTTGGAAGGCAATTTGGCAGTACTTCTTAAAATTAAAAAAACAAAAACAGCAGTATGCACTTTTTACAATAGATGCTTCCACTTATAGGAATGTATCCTACAGACATGCTTGCACATGTGCACAGTGGTGCAGTCAGGCCTTCAGGGAATGTGGTCCGCCTGGTCTCAGCTTGGGAACAGCCAGGAAACATCATCTTGACTGTGGGTATTGGTGAGACAGATGCTCTGGGGTCCCCACTCATATCCTCTTGGGCCTTACTGCTGTGGTGTATGCTAGCCACTCTTCCAGCTGCTCTGGGGTTTTCTCTGGCATGACCTAGTACCCTGACCCAAGTGGCCCTTGAATAATTAATGACTGATGGGAGCTGGTGTGTAAATACTCCTGAGGGCAGAGGGCCAACTCTGAGTTGTGCTTTCTCTATTGCTTCCAAGAGTCTCTCATGGAGATTAAACTTCAGGGGCCAAAGATGGTGATTGGCTTGATAGTGAACCTGCTGCTTCCCTCCCAGCCCTGCTTGACTCTCTACTCCTGGGAGTACGTCTCACATAAGGTAACTGTGGTTGAATCCTTGTCTTAGATTCTGCTTCTGTGGAAACCCAGCTAAGAAAATTGGGTTCCCTGGAAGAAACACAGTAGTAGACACTACCCTTAAGTGGCTTCCTCATTGGTGAGTATCAGTGATGGGCCGGAGAAAAGGAAAAGACAGATACTTATGAGCACATGAGGGACCCTCGCAGTTTGGAGAGACGGGATGATTTTGCATGAGGTACGGGCTTGTGCTGCTGAAATGGAAATGACTGCTGACATTAGGACCCCTCTCGCCCCCACTTGGCTTACACTCTGGTCAGGACATAAACACATGCTATATTAGAGTTTCTCATAGTCCCTGCTCTACATAAGACCAAGGCAGCTGAACGTGTGGTATTACTGAAGGCGCGCTTTCCCCAAGCACCATCAGTCACTGCTCAGAGATTGAAATTTCACAAATGGAATCTGCAGCTTGTGAACTACTGCTATTTAAGTTGGATATTAATAATTTGTGCTCCTTCTACTACCAAAAAAGTGTTTTGAGAAATTGCTGCTTAGGTTGTGAATTTTATAGCATCCTGGGCCATTCATCTTCTAAAGTTACCTGGTCAAAGCATGTGCTATTTGCAGCACCAAAGATTAGATTTTCATAAACCACAGTGGGCTGACTCAAAAGAGAAGTTAGGAATTTCTAGCCTATCCAAGGCGCCTCGATTTAGGTCTTGTTCTTTCACAAACAACAACCATTGCTGGATCACTTGAATGACAACTGGACTCCTTGTGAAGACCATTCTGTCTGGAAGGTGATACAAGGTCAACACAGTCATTGAAGACACTTCTCAGTCTCTGCAAATGCACTGTGTTGTTACCACTGGCGATATCAGAGTGGAAGGCCTATTCGAGGTCAGCTAGTTGATGCTGGATCAGAACTAAGCCACCTGGCCTACTGGTCCTGCGTCTCACTGGGCTAGCTTCTCTAAGACAGCCCACAGGATGATCAATTCATGCCATCAACTGTGTGGCTTGACGCTGTAGTTGGTCTTATTGACAGGTGTCTTAATAGGTGTGGGTGGGTGGCTCATCAAGTTGGTTTATTTATAAACTGTAGAAACGACAACCTCTCTAATGAAGAACGACTGTTACAGAAGAACTCCCTATGGTTATAGAAGACAGTTTTTGTGATATAACTCATTCAGGTGTTGCTCAGCTGATACCATGATGGGTGGTTTGGAACAAATTCTCACAGTTAGCGTGACTAGTCAAGAGATTTTGATGAGAAATCCACGTAGCTTTCTGCAAAACAAGTGCAAGGAAAGAATTTCTCGATATAAATCTATCTTGGTATAAATTAATATATATTGATTGATCTATATAGTTTGGAAAAGGCTGTAACTCCTTGTTAACAGTAGTGTCAGGGCGATATTAGACTTATAAAACTTAAAGGTATGTGTGACCTCTGCATTGTATAAACTAAAACTTTCAGAAAGACTTAGACCTTGAAGAAAGGTCATTCGGTGTCTGGGTCTGTTGGGACAGAGTGAAGCAGATGGTTGCTCAATCCTAGTAACTCTCCTTTGAAAGATAACCTTTTGTTTTCCATTAATTACAAATGTCTTTGCTTATTAAACATTTAGATATGATTTCATCCCTTTACATAACCCACCCTGAATGCCGCATAGGGTAAGAACGGCAGGTGCCCAGCTGCAAAGATTCAGATGGGCTTGGAGTGAAACATACAGAAACCTCAAAAACAAGCTAGGAGGAGATAGAGAGAGCTAGGGGAGAATACAAAGAATGAGGAC